TAAATTAAGGGCTGAGGTAATATTTATTAACTCAGATGAAGATGAGTATGTCACATTACTTAAATTTCCACTTGCATTATTTGTGTTATTATCCGAATCTCTACACACATCATTTACATTAGCTAAGCTATGTCCAACAGCACTATTTACATTATTTCAATTACTATTCTCATCTCTTCTACTAGGAACTCTCCAGATAGGTGATGCAGATCGATTTCTTTGATTGGTGGTGGATTCACGGCAACTAGTACTTATAATTAATGGCACTTCGTAAGTTGGTGATGGGGTACGGTTACGGCGACGTCTTCTGGTGGATGTGTTTGCATTATGCAATATGTCGAATAGAGTTTCTATATTCTCATATACAAGCCAATTTTCATGAGTTATCTATATATTTACTACTACGGTGATAGATTGTATCATAGGTGAACTTACCAGGTCTCACCCAAAAATGAGAATTAAATTCTTCAAAATATCGTTCACCTGCTTTGCTCCTCTTTCCGGTTTTGCTCCTAGCTATATATAAACACATCGACTAAAAAAGTTTCAGCGAGGCAACACAGCCAATATAAAAGTATATTTGAAATACTATCATATAGAATGTCATAGTTAAAATAGTATATAGAGTTTAACGCCTACGTTGTAATCTCTAACAAGATTCTGAAATCTATTATTACATTGGTGTCCTGTATAGGTGGTCCCAAATCGTTCGTTGATTGTGTTTGCTATACTATTCCAAAAGTCTACCCTACTACTACCGGAAATGTTATAATAATCTGCATTTCGATTTTTTCTTTCATCGATCAATAAGCGTAATTGATCATCGGTCCACATCACAAAAATTTAATTTCGACGGATACCCAACTGAGATACACTCACGATATGATATTTCCATACGTTTTTATAAGAAAAAAAAAAACATCATACCTTCAACGCACCTTCATCATACCTTCATCGTACCTTCATTGCGCCTATTGCATCTTAATTATGAGTTAATATAATAACAACATAGTCTATAAGTATGGATCTAGATATAGGGTATCTACACACATCTCGGATTTGCTTATCTCGGATCGGGTGATCTCAAATGAAAATAATGATTATTAACCCGATTTAACATTACGTCCGAAACATGTATTCTTTATCGTAGAGAATAAATCATGTGATAAAAAGCGGACCCTGGGATTACACGTCTGCACTTCGTGATAATAAGTAACAGTTATTCTAAATTTGTAGATCCGGCTTAAATATAGCAATAGCGTGTCTAAATACGTCTTTCAACAAGTTATTAATAATCTAATCCGAATATAGAAAATGTGCGATGGTTGATTTGTCGTGTTCTATAATTGTGGTGCCGAATTTAGTAAATATTTTAATTATTTGTTATGTAGTGTTAAATTATCGTAATGCTGAGTCATTTGTATCATATATACTGCTTCGTGTCAAATAGTTATGTACTAAATAAAAATAAGTCGTGATTTATGCGAAGCATAGGCAAGGCCCTATAATAAAAGGGTTATCTACAAAGTTCTGTTCCGAATTTGCTTGTTTTTTCTCGAAAGCATTTAAAAAATTTTTATAAAATTGTTTACTTCTATTGTTACTATGTCATCGCAAAATACACCCGTTCTCTTATCAAAGGCCTCTAAGAGAAATCTTCGTAATAATACTTTTTACTTCTTGTTCTGTTATATTAAATCTTTCTTTACTAAATTTGCGAATAGAACCTATCTTTTTTTTACCGATTACAGAGAAAATCTTATATACCTTTCTGGCGGATGACATTATTTTGTTATCAGTACTTTTAATTTCATTCTTGCCGATAGAATCGCATAATAATTCATTTATTAATTTCTTCGAGTAACAGTTATCTGACCATAATTGATGATGACATTCTAAAATGGCTCCAAATTCAAATAAACAGTGAATCATATTAACTACAACACGATCATTAATATCAAGCCTTGGATTTTTATTTATCCATTGAGATATGGCTTCACTTCTTTTAATTGTTTCATCATAACCCGTTTTTAAAGAATCGAAATGACAATATTCTAATGAAAGAGGTATATTCTCTAATATTTCATGGACGATTTCATGCTCTTACAGAGATTTTATCATTTAAAATCTTACTTAATTCCATATTATAGTATCTAACTAAAATATTCAATTTTAATTCAAAATAAGACAGAATTAGCGATTAGGTAAAATTACGCGCTCTTCGGTATAAATAAGTTTTTATTTTTCCACATAACAAGAATTTGTCCACATATTGGGCCATGGCCTTGACTTTGCGATTTATTAAACTTTCAACAAAATATGGGTTATTGCATTGTTATAAAGGAACAATAATATCACATGTATTATGCATGCGTGACCTGTTGTACGACAATCTGATTGTTTGTATAAACTATAAAAGGGTGAATGTACGACTATTTCTTACTAA